AAGAGCCCTGGGCACTGTGAGCTCACTCATTTATATCAACAAGGCGCTTGGATCATCAACCTCTCCTCTCCTCTCCTCTCCTCTCCTCTCCTCTCCTCTCCTCTGTGTCTCTCTCAGGATGGTGAGAGGCTCAGGTACGGGACAGGGGATGAGTACAGGAAGCACTGCCTGAGGAGAGTTGGGAGAAGATATTATTTCACTGTCAATGATGTGCAGCCAGAGGATGCAGGGGTGTACCAGGTCAGGGTGGAGGACGTCCCTGTCTTCTCAACCGAACTGGATGCTCAAGGTGAGGAATTCAGTTTGATGGATGTGATGTGCAATTGTGACAAAAGTTTGTTTTTTGTGCTGGAAAATTGTGTCTAGGAGCGAGTGCAAAGCTCAGTAAGTCCTGAGCTCCACAGTGGGCTGGTTTTGTGCTGCCCAGCAAGGGCTTCCTGTCTGAACAGATGAAAAGGAGCAGGAGTGAAACTTTTTTTCTTTTTGTTTCTGCTTGCAATTCTCCTCCCACGTGGATTTCCCAGTCTCTTCTGGGCTGGGCTCCTTCAGAATACCCCCTCATGGGGAGTTCTGTTTATCTCAGTTCTCTGGGTCAGGGAGAAAACTCCAAAGCTCGTTAGGATCTTGCTTCTGGTGTTTATTAGGATGTTATCACAAAACTTGGCAGGTCTCTCCAGATTTTCTGCACAAGTTCAAATCACTACAACCTGGCACATTTTTGCTCTGATGGCACAAAATGGCCCCAGACTGTGCAGCCTTTTTATCTTTATACTTATTCTTATCCAATTAACAATAGACACATATATTATTTTTCTTAATGACCCAATGACCCATCACCTGTGTGCTGCACTGTGGCATTTTCTATCCAATCACTGCCCAAAAACCTCTAGAGGAAAAACATGAAGAAGAAAGAAGGACAAGAGACAACACTCTAAATCCTCCACCTTGTCTTCTGCTTTCTAAACTAGTTTAAACTCTAAACTTACTTTTTCACCCAGTGACTTAAAAGACTCTCTAATCTACACACTCACACTTTTAGCTTTTTGTTTTCATGTATCACCATGAAAACATGCCCATAAATTTCATGTTCTGTGAAATTCAGTGTTCTCCTGGATGTCAGAGCCAGGCATCAGAGACAAAGGGCTCACACTGTGTCTCAGACTCAGGAGGGTGATGAAATGTTCAGGAGCTGCATTTGCAGTCCAAGGGAGCAGACCTGAGTCCCAGCACCAGTGTGGCTGTGGGTGATACTCCCTAACATACCCCATCTTACATCTTATTCTGTAAACTCAGAATAATAACAAACCCAATCCAAGTATCATGTTGCAGGAACACATCAATAACTACAAACTGGCAGCACATCAGTGCTGTGAGGTACAAATGTCTCAGAAAATGATAAAGACAAAAATCTGCTTTTCTGCTTTTCCGCAGAACGGGGCACAGAAGCACGCCCGAGTTTTCCCTTTTTCTCAGTAACACGATGCTCAGAGGCACCACAACTTCCTGTTCTTTCCTCCTTCAGCTGAAACGGTTTTCCTTGGAGCCCAGAGGCAGCTGTTTCCTTCCCACAGCTCTTGTTTTTCCCCGCAGCCATCCCGGCGCGGTTCCGGCAGCCGCTGTCCGACGTGCGCTGTGCCGAGGCCGCGGACGCCCGGTTCCAGTGTGTGCTGTGCACGCCCTGCCACGAGCCCCTGTGGCTGCACAAGAGCCACCCCCTCCAGAACAGTGCCAAGCACCAGATCTCTGTGACACCTGATGGCCTGAGCCACGAGCTGATTGTCAGGAACGTGGGGCCCTCGGACAGCGGGCTGTACACGCTCGACGCGGGACAGGGCTCCTCCAGCGCCTGGCTCCTCGTGGAGTGTGAGTGCTTGGCAGCAGCTTGTTCCCGTGGTGTGTTGGCACAAAACATTCTTCTCACTGGCTGATGGCTCAGGGAGAAGGTGCTCTGATGGGAAATGAATTGCTGAGCCTCTAATTCCAAAATTAGGGCTGAGAAAACTGGGGGTGTTCAGTGTGGGAAAAACGAGGGTCCAGGGAGACCTTGAAGACCTTTCCAGGACCTAAAGGGGCTCCAGGAGAGCTGCAGAAGGACTTTGGAAAAGGGATGGAGGGACAGGACAAGGGGGAATGGCTTCCCACTGGCAGAGGGCAGGGATAGATGGGATATTGGGAAGGAATTCTTGGCTGGGAGTGTGGGGAGACCCTGGCACAGGGTCCCAGAGAAGCTGTGGCTGGAAGTGTCCAAGTGTCCAAGGCCAGGCTGGACAGGGCTCGGAGCAGCCTGGGATAGTGGAAGATGTCCCTGCCCATGGCAAGGGGTAGAATGAGATCAGTCTTCCCATCCAAACCATTTTGTGATTCTGTGATTCTAAATTATTTTTGAAAAAATGAAGATCTGGTTAGACCCTCCTTCCTCTTCAAATGAGACCAACTTTTAATTAGTCCTGACAAATCCTATTGGCTTGTTTGCTCTATGGCTATGATGAAGTAGCACATTTTCCATCAGTTATCAAAAAATGCTCCCTATCTCCCCACATGTTTTTGAGGAAGCTGTCCCAGCGATCACAGGTAGCAGAAGGGGCTCAGGGAGCTTTTGATACTTTCAGTTCTACACTATCAATGCCATTCTTCTTGCTAGATAATATTTTTCATTCCAAATTAGAGTCAGACATGCTGGAAGGAGCTCAGAGGAAGCTGGGAAAGTGGGAACAATCACATTGTTCCCCATTGACAGCCACTTGGCTCGTGTTTGCTTATGAAAGGTGGTTCCTTTGGTTCCCTTTGACTCTGGTTTCCTTCGGGATCTTCCTGCAGCAGCAGGAGGGGTCTCTGCCACAAAGGCCCCTCCAAAGCAATGTAGGTTTCTGAAAGAAAGAAACTGGCCCTGGATTTCAGTGAGTTGTGAGCTCTGATAGATTATACCCAAGCTGGAAACCAAAGCAGTGAGTGACCTGCTCTCAGAACAGCCTGAATTTCAGATTAATCCAAAGCTATTCACAAATCTGAAAGCTTTAGTCCTCAGGTTGGGCATCCCTAAAGCAGCCATTATCCAGATGTGCAAGCTGCCTCCAGAGCACTGAAATCTCATTCCAGGGTGGGAACTGATGGCTCCTCTGTGCCTGGAATATTCTGTAACTCCTCTCTAGCTGCAGGGTGAAAGCAGCTGGAATTAATAAATCCCACATACAATCTCAGCCCCTCTAAATCAGACCTGCCATGCTGGAAGTTTATTTTTCTGTTATTTTTGGTTTGTTTGTTTGTTTGTAATAATGAGCATGGTTCCATTAAAAAACAATGCATTTTAACTAAAAAATAATTGTCTTTAATTAACATTTCTTTGAATGTGGCATTGAAAAATTCAGGATTTGAAATTATTTTAAATTTATTAAAATGTATTATGTGTGTGTGTGTCCTAGAATGAAATTCAGAAAGTGCTAACACATTTTCTTGGTTGTTGATGCACTGCATGCCCTATTGATTTTCTGCTATTTTGTTCCCCTCTTTTTCTGTAAATTGCAAATCTGCTCCAATGAAACAATGCAACTTCAGATGCCAAAGGAAAGAGGAGACAGGATGAAGGAGAAAAGATTGAAAGGGAGACATCTGAGTGGCTGAAGGAAACAATGGCAGACAATGAAAGGGCGAGGAAGCTTCGGCGCCAAGAACAAGCTGCTGCTGAAGATTCTTCCTTTTCCACATCCTCTGGTGCAGAGAAAAGTGCCTGGTACAGAACAACTCAAGGCAGCAGCCAAGGCAGGGGCCAAGGACACTCCATTGATTCTGATGATGGAAGCCAAAGATTTTTGGGAAAAGAGGGTCTACGCAAAACCCACATGAACGGAGAGATGGGGTCTGGACAGTTTTCTGGAGCAGGTCTAGGTGGAGACTCAGCAGCCAATGGTGGCAGCACCTTTGGACTAAAAGGCTTAGGAGGCAGAAGTGGGTTAAGGGCTGTCCATGGCAGGGACTCTGTGTCAGGTCCTGGTGCTGCAGAAGGAGGGGCAGGTGAATGGAATTCTGTGGGTGGCAGAGGTGAGGGTGTGCTGGGTGCTGTTAACATTGACATGGATGACGGAGGAGGTTTGGGCTCCCAGCATGACAAGGAAGGGAATTCAGGTGATGCCAATTACAGAGCTGGTTTTGGGGGTGCTGGAAGGTTGAGTGGTGGAAGTTCTGTGCCAGGTGGACTTGATCCTGATTCAGCTGGAGTGGGAGCCAGTGTGAATGATCTGTTCAGCAGGACTGGAGCTGGGGGGAATGCTGCAGGTGCTGGAATGGCAGGAGAAATGAGGTCCCACCACGGCAAGGATGGGCATCCCACTGTGGGTGATATGTATGGAGGTATAAACAGAGAGGGACAAACAGGGACTCCCTATGGCAAGGATGGCTTGGTACCTCATGCCAGTGGTCAGTTAGGGCAGGCAGGAAGATCTGGCTCACTGCATGGGCCAGGAGGCTTTCCAGGTGGAGATGGGGCTGTACCTGCTGCACGTGGCAATTCCACAAGAGAAATGGAGGCTTTGTATGGTCCAGATGGTCGGGCACTGGGAGCAGGTGCTGGTGGTGCTGGTGGAGCTGGTGCAGGGGGATTTGGAGCTCCCTATGGGAAGGATGGTCTTCCCATTGGAGCAGGGATTGGTGGGGCTGGTGGTGCAGGTGCACTTGGATCTCCCTATGGAAAGGATGGTCTCCCAGCTGGGGCTGGTGGTGCGGGAGGATTTGGAGAGGCTTTGTATGGTCCAGATGGTCAGCCACTTGGAGCAGGTGGTGGTGGTGCTTCTGGTGCAGGGAGAGTTGGAGGTTCCTATGGAAAGGATGGTTTCCCACTTGGAGCTGGAGTTGGTGGAGCTGTAGGTGGTGGGTTTGGAGGTGCTGGCTCTCCTTATGGAATGGATGCTTTCCCAGCTGGAGCAGGTGCTGGAGGGCCTGGTGCAGGGGGACTTGGAGGTCCCTATGGGAAGGATGGTCTCCCAGCTGGAGCAGGTGCTGGTGGTGCTGGAGGATTTGGGGAGGCTTTGTATGATGGTCGGCCACTTGGAGCAGGTGTTGGTGATATGGCTGGTGCTGGTGAAGGGGGACTTGGATCTCCATGTGGAAAGGGTGGTCTCCCAGCTGGGGCTGGTTTTGGTGGTCTTGGTGCAGCGGGACTTGGAGCTCCCTATGGGAAGGATGGTCTTTCCATTGGAGCAGGTATTGGTGGGGCTGGTGGTGCAGGGGGAGCTGGGGGTCCCTATGGAAAGGATGGTCTCCCAGCTGGAGCTGGTGTTGGTGTTGGTGGTTCAGGTGGTCCCTATGGAAAGGATGGTCTCCCAGCTGGAGCTGGTGTTGGTGTTGGTGGTTCAGGTGGTCCCTATGGAAAGGATGGTCTCCCAACTGGAGCTGGTGTTGGTGGTGCAGGAGGATTTGGAGAGGCTTTATATGGTCCAGATGGTCAACCACTTGGAGCAGGTGTTGGTGGTGCTGGTCCTGTGAGGGCCAGGGGAATTGGAGCTCCCTATGGAAAGGATGGTCTCCCAGTTGGAGCTGGTTCAGGGGGAGCTGGGGGTCCCTATGGAAAGGATGGTCTCCCAGTTGGAGCTGGTGCTGGTGTTGGTGGTTCAGGGGGTCCCTATGGAAAGGATGGTCTCCCAGTTGGAGCTGGTGCTGGTGGTTCAGGGGGTCCCTATGGAAAGGATGGTCTCCCAGTTGGAGCTGGTGTTGGTGTCGGTGGTGCAGGGGCAGCTGGGGGTCCCTTTGGAAAGGATGGTCTGCCAGCTGGGACTGGTGTTGGTGGTGCAGAGGGAGTTTTGGGTCCCTATGGAAAGGATGGTCTCCCAGTTGGAACTGGTGTTGGGGGAGCTGGGGGTCCCTATGGAAAGGATGGTCTCCCAGTTGGAGGTGGTGTTGGTGGTGCAGGGGGTGTCTATGGAAAGGATGGTCTCCCAGTTAGGGCTGTTGTTGGTGGGGTTGGTGGTGAAGGAGAAGTTGGAGCTCCCTTTGGAAAGGATGGTCTGCCAGCTGGGACTGGTGCTGGTGGTGCAGGGGGTCCCTATGGAAAGGATGGTCTCCCAGTTGGAGCTGGTGCTGGTGGTGTAGGGGCAGCTGGGGGTCCGCATGGAAAGGATGGTCTCCCAGTTGGAGCTGGTGTTGGTGTTGGTGGTGCAGGGGGAGTTTTGGGCCCCTATGGAAAGGATGGTCTCCCAGTTGGAGCTGGTGTTGGTAGTTCAGGTGGTCCCTATGGAAAGGATGGTCTCCCAGCTGGAGCAGGATCTGGTGTTGGTGGTTCAGGTGGTCCCTATGGAAAGGATGGTCTCCCAGCTGGAGCAGGATCTGGTGTTGGTGGTTCAGGTGGTCCCTATGGAAAGGATGGTCTCCCAGTTGGAGCTGGTGTTGGTGTTGGTGGTTCAGGTGGTCCCTATGGAAAGGATGGTCTCCCAGTTGGAGCTGGTGCTGGTGTTGGTGGTTCAGGTGGTCTCTATGGAAAGGATGGTCTCCCAGCTGGAGCAGGAGCTGGTGTTGGTGGTGCAGGGGGAGTTTTGGGTCCCTATGGAAAGGGTGGTCTCCCAGCTGTGGCAGGAGCTGCTCATTTTCCTCCTGGGGGTGAGGAAGTGATGGGATCTGGCTGTGGCACGGATGGCACACTGAGCAGAGCTCCAGGATATGCAGGTGGAGCAGGAGGAGAGGGCTTTTCTGGGGAAGGCTCTGCACCGTGGGGTGCAGGGTCTGCCTATGGCAAGGACAGAGGTTCAGCTGTAGCCATGGCTGGTGCAGGTGGGGTTGGGAACTTGGGAGGGGATGAATGGGATTCAGTCTACGTTAAAGAAGGTGTAGGTGGTGCTGGTGGATCACGTGGTGAATATGGGCTGGATGCACATCCTGGTAGATCTTCGAGAGGTGAAACTGGAAAGGGCACTCCTGGTGATGTCCGAGGGCCAGGGAACAAAGGCTCAGCTGGTGACAGAGGGTCCCTGTCAGGTCCAGGAGGAGCCAGGGCAGAAGGCAGAGATTTCGGGCAGTTGGGCTCCCTTTATGGCACAAATTCTGCCTCTGGAAAGGCAGGGAGTAAATCCCATGACAGATCTGTTGATGGGAGTAGTTCAAGTGGGCTTGGTCAAGGTCCACTGAGCTATGGCCAGATGTCAGGTCCTTTTGGTGGACCTCCTTCAGCAAATCAGAGAAACCAGGAACCTGACCTGGATCTTAAAGCAAATGATTCCCTGAACAACACGGAAAGCACAGGACAAAAGAGACGGAGTGTCCTGGATGATCTCAAAGGTACGTGGTTAACTGGTGACTCCTGGTCTTTGCATTTTGATATTCACATTCCTAATCCTGCAAAGAAATGGGATGTTATGGTTCAGATAAACACAACTCTGTGTAGAAATTTGGTTGTCCCACGATCTGTTCCTAATTCTCCCACTGTTTGATCTTACACAGTTTGCTCTGATCAAACTGCCTTAAAGGCCTAAATTACTTCCTTTGTCTAAATTATCTAAATTAGGTCTCAGCTCTTCATTTGTGTTTCACCTATCATGGAACAGACCAGTTCACAAGCATACCTGTTCCCATAAAGTTTCCAGGAATATCATCATGTTTCTTTGATACTGTTCCAATTCAAAAACGAACCTTTCATTTTATTTTTCAAACACCTACTGCAAAAACTGTGTTTTGCAAGTTCTGGGAACAATTCTGTGCCTGCTTATATGGGATTATATAATGCAAAGAGCTCTTTTCTCTTGTAACATCAGGAATAATAAGGTGTTGCATAGAGTGAGAGGGGAGTAATGTGTTTGCAGCCATTTGAGTAAGACCTGTGGCTCCACCACCAAGATGATGATGATGATGATGAAAATTGTAGGAATGAGAAATTTCAGGTGTATAATCAGAGGGGAATATTCACCTCATGGGATTGTTCACAAGTTAAGAATTATCATTGTAAACCATAAATATAAATATACAAGGAAGTAAAATCATCAAAATTGGGGTTCAGGGGGAAGGAGTGGGGTGTATATTAGAGAAGAGATTATGATGACAATGGAGAATTTGGGAAGGGAAAGAGGAATGCAGGGATGGAGAACAGTGTCCCTGGGTCTGTGTAGGGGGATGTGTTGGGCAGCCCTGTGTGTGGTCAGCGCAGAGGAAGAGGAGGATGAAGCAGTATTTCCACACCCTGGTTTTTCCACTGGCTGTAGAGGGAGCCAAGACAATTAGCACAGACATAAACTAGCAAATCCACAGCTGGATGCTGTGATTTGTGATGAATCCATTGCCCATGAGGTGGATGTTGGGATGCAGTTGATGTTGGGATGGCTGCAGGTCTGTCAGGGCACTGAGTGTACCCAGCTGGCTCACAGCAAGGTGGCAAAAAGCCTCTCCTGCCCAGAGGACCTTTTTTTTTTTTTAAAGCTCTTTTCCCCTCATGTGCACGTGCATTTTCAGCTCCAGGTGTCTCTCTGTAACACAGACTTAGCTTCTTTCCCTCCCTTCACCCTGTTCAGTCCCACGCTGTTACCTCAACAAGCAGCTGGCAACCGTGCGAGTGCTGAAGGGCGAGCCAGCCGAGCTGTCCTGCACTGTCAGCAAGGACAATGTGACAGCAACCTGGTTTAAGGATGGCCTAAAGGTGGGTTCCTTCAGCTTGCTGCTGGCTTTGGCTGGCAATGCTCTGCTCTCTGGCTCTGCTTGCTAAGGGTGTCCTTCCCCCTGACAGTCACCTGCAGTCTGAGTGGGGCCCTGGAAGGGTTCACAGGATCCCAGAGTGGTTTGGGTTGGAAGGGACCTTAAGGATCATCCAGTCCCACCCTGGGCTGAGATAGCTCCCACTAGACCCAAGCCCCATCCAACCTGGCCTTGGACACTTCCAGGGATGGGGCAGCCACAGCTTCTCTAGGCAGCAGAATACCAGAATATTGTCATTAAACATGCATGGCATTCATAAGTCTTTTCATTTTCATTTCAAATTGTAGTCTGTCCAGCTTCAGGTTTGGATTGCATTTTTTCCTTTTATTTTTAAAGGATAGGTCTCTGTCTTTTACTTTGTAGTTAACAAGCATGGATGGAGTCGTCTTTGAAAAGAAAGGTCTTGTCCACAAATTGATCATTAACAAAGCTGAAGATATTCATGCTGGTAAATACAGGTTTGAAGGTGGAGATGTAAAAACTGAAGCTTCAATTTTTGTTGAAGGTGAGTCTACTCAAACCACCAAGGCAGCATGAGATGGGCTTTACATGTAATATATTTACTCAGAGACATGTCAATGGATATTGAGACAACTTTATAATAGAGAATTACAAGATAAATGCTTTTTTACAGGTTGGTTCATTTTGCATTTGTGAATTTAACTAGGGACTCTTCTGTCAGCAGCTCAGATTCTGGGGTGCCCAGAACGCTGTATCAGGGTGTCATGCCGCTACCTTCCCAGGAAGTGTCTCCTATGGGACACCTTGGGTGCACAGGCACGCCTGCCTTGCCCCAGGGATTCAGCAATAGCCCTTAGAAGGGCTGCTGGAACTGCTGCTGCTCCTTGGGCAGCCCAGAAGGAACAGTCAGGTCCTTGTATGGAGTTCCACAGGGAGCTTTGATTCTGCTGCTTCTCCAGAGGGGTCCAGGGACAAAGAAGCAGGGAGTGAGAGGGTGCAGGGGTTTATAAAGGAAAGGCAGGGGGTGGGTTTGAGCAACAGGGCCAATGATCTGAGGGCTCAGGGGCAGAGCAAGGGGGAAGGGCCAATGGGATACAAATAATACACATATGAGGGAAAGGCACGCTGGGGATAGCAAGTTACCATAAGAGAAAGGTCCTCAGCTGAGGCTTTCCCTTGAAAGGGAGCAAGGTAAGTAAAAGGCTCTGGGCTCTGTCTCCAGGACAGAGGCCACACTGCTGGCTGCCTCAACTGCCCCCACATCAGGGCAGATTCTTCATTCTTGTGGTTAGTGTGTTGCCTAGGAGAAGCTTTCTCTAGTGAAAGGACAGTGTGATACCACAAAATGTTGTGATAATTATCCTGTAGCAAAGTACAACTGACTGAAGGTTCAGAACCACGTATGGTGAGCTTCTAAACATTGCTGGCAGCATCATGAGGGGATCCCTTCCCTCCAAGGTGAGCCTTGTCCTCCTTGAATTGTGATTTTTAATGACCTTGTATTCCCTGCTTAGATCCTCCCCAAGTGGACAAAGTACTCCTGAAGAACTTGACCAGTGTCCCCACGGTGGCCAAGGCTGGGGAGGCGGTGAAGCTGCGGATCCCGTTCAAGGGTCGAGGGCCCATCAGGGCAGCGTGGCTGAAGGACAGGATGGAGCTGGGGGATGACACCAGGATCCGTGTGGACAAGACAGACACCTGCACCACACTGTCCATCTCCAGCTGCAGCAGGAGGGACTGTGGGGATTACAAAGTCAGGCTCAAGAACGACAGTGGGACACTGGAGATCAACCTAAAGCTCGTGGTGATAGGTAAGGTGCTGTAACATTCCCTGTGGCATTCACTGTAAAGCTTAGCCAGGGAATCCATTGACAACCTTATTTGGAGTGACTGGGTATTTTGAGAGGAACAAGACTCTGTGTATTGCCCCCAAATCAGGATTGATGGTTGAAGATGCTTCTTGCCCTTTAGTACAAGGGAACACAAACCTAGTTTGGTTTTTCGTGGCCTATGCAGCTGAGTTTTGAATGTTCACACACTGTGGGAGATGTGACTGTATACAACATGCAAATGTGAAACAAGATTTTGTCTTGGTTTGAGAAAGACAGGTGTCTGCTAAGGAAGGCAGAAACTTCCCTTGAAATAAATAAAAATGTAAACCACCCACTCCCCCTGCAAAATATTGTAATCTTGACATTAAGGTGCTTTCAGGCAAAGATACAGGAATAGGAATAAGAGTTCTTTACTAAGGAAATGAAAATAAAAATGCAGTAGTACAAAAAAGAAAACTTAAAAAAAACCCCAAAATCCCCAAACAACCAACAAGGCAGTGACAGTCAGAATACAACCTGCCAGCCTGTTGGTCAGGGTGTTGGTAGCAGTGTGATTAAGTGGTGGCTGCAGTCCTCCTGGAGTGACAGATGTGGTTCTGTTGGAGCAGTGATCTTACAGAAGGGTGTAGTTTAATCTGAAGGTCCAGTGCTGGTGTAGATGGGTCCGGTCTCCTCTGGGATCCAGTGGACAAAGGCTGCTTGTGGTGTTTTGAGTCTCCAAAGAGATACAGCTGGAAATGCTTGGCTCCTTCCCCTGGGTGGAGCATCTCAGCATGGGATGATGGAATTGTATCAGCCATGCAGTGAGACTCAATGGGCAGAAGAGATCCCCCTGCAGGGAGGATGGGTCCTGGAAGAGGTAAAGAGCACTGCCCCAGTGGGTTTCAGCAGATAGAATACATTCTTTTGGTTACATCTTGTTACCACTGCACCCCAAGACAGATATCAAGGTCCAATTCAGCCTTCCCATAAAAGTCTGGGCACCTTTGGGACACCAGAAATGTTTTGCCTGTATTAGCAAGCTGAGCGGATGCAATGCTTATGACAAGAAGGGAGAGCAAGGGCATGGCTTCCCATCTTCTCCATCAAAAGTTTAAAAAGTGCAGATTTGGAAGGGGCAATTCATGTGCTCCACCCTCATCCTACAACTGTGCCTGCATTTCATCAGGAACAGTCTCCCAGCTGGTGAGCAAGGGACAGTGTCTGCTCCAAACCCAGGAGCAGGTCTGGGTCTGGAGCCAACTGTGTCTCTGTTCATCTTCCCAGACAAGCCACAGGCCCCAGCAGGACCCATAAAAATTGTGGAAAACTCTGCCAACAACATCACGATCCAGTGGAAGCCCCCAAAGGATGACGGGGGCAAACCAGTGCAAAGGTACCTCATAGAGAGGCAGCAGGTGGGCAGGAACGACTGGGAGACCTTGGGAGAAACCCCCAGGAGCTGCAGCACCTTCACCACGAGCAAAGTGGAGGAAGAGATGAGCTACTACTTCAGGGTGAGGGCCATGAATGCCGAGGGAGTGAGTGATGCGCTGGAGTCGGGGGAAGTCAAGGCTGCTGGTAAAGGTGAGGAGAACTTCTCATAATTCATGATTCAAACTGGGAAATTCATTATCAAAGCTGACATCAAATCAAAGTCACTGCATTGTGGATGTTGCTACAGATCTCAACTTCAGTCTTCACACAGAGCTGTGGAGGTTGCCCAGCAAGAGCAGCAGTTTGCTGTAGGCTCTCTCTGCTGATGCTGAGTGAGATGTAATTATTCCTTGGTCATAGAATAATTCTGGATTGGAAAGGAAGTTTCATGGGGGAAATACAGAATGATAGAGATCATCCTTTGATGAATTTTTCCCACTGTGCCTGCAAAGTGAGGCCTTTTCTCAACTCCACAGGCAAAGGAGTGTCTCTGTATGTGCAGCACTTCTCAGCATGACCACTCCATTCCCCTCATCTCCAAACAACTGAATATTGTCTTCATCCTTCAGGGAGTTTAATACTAGAACAGGTTTGCCACGAGCACAAATGCAGTACTAGAGAGAGCAATGTTCAGTTCTAGTTGTCTTCTTTCTCCATTCTCATTCCCATGGTTCTGTATCCTGAAAGCTTTAGCAAGAGAGCAAAGAAAATCCATTTTGTTACCAGTTCAGGTTGTTGAAAGCAAGAATGAGGCTGCCTGGTCGTATCATGTAGGAATGACACACCCCACTGGCAGAGGAATGGTCAGTCCTGATGACAGCAGGTCTTTTGTGAAATCCAAACTCAGGAACTGAGTCCATGCTGGATTCAGTTTGTGTGGGGAACAGGATACTCAACTTCAGGTCTCAGCCAGGTTTTCAAAGCACATCTGTAGGAATACCTGGGGGAATCTGGAAGAAGAAATTACACACAATTTTATCTACACTATTTTATCTTGCAATAAAAACATACATGCTAATAATGAAGCCCTCATCTCTTTGTAGCTTCCCCTGGTGCCCCAGATCCCCCTGAGATCATCAGTGCCAGCAGGGACACCATCACCATATCCTGGAAAGCTCCTTGTAAAACTGGCACTTCCCAAATTATGGGATACATTGTTCAGAAACGCAAGAAGGGCACTGTGACCTGGCTGCCAGTCACCAAGGTGCCTGTCAAAGGTGGGTACTCTGACTCCTGGAACAGCCTGGGGGATTTGAAAAAGCAAAAGTGTCAGGTTTAGGAGCTGCTTAGGATCTTACACCTTTGACATCGAGGTGGTGATGGGTAACCTTGGAGGTCTTTTACAGCTAAAAGATTCTGGGATTCTGTGGTTCAAGGGCTGTTTGATTTTGAAAGGAATACAATGAACACATCCCAGAAGATCACGTGCACCTGTGGTGATCACCTAGTGGTGGGGAATCAGTGGCAGGGGAATCAGTGACAGCTGTTACAATTCCTAAGAATTTTTCAGTCCATAATTCTGCCTGGACTAAGGCACAACTTTGTTGTGTCACCTTTCCTGATGGGGAACAGCTCCCCTGAGGCAAGATATTTCTCTCTGCAGACAAGAAGCTGAAGGTGACCAGCCTGAAGAAGGGTGTGCAGTACGAGTTCCGTGTGGCAGCTGTCAATGCTGCAGGCACAGGACAGCCCAGTGACCCCTCAGAGGCCGCCTTTGCCCAGGATCCCACCAGTGAGTGCCCTGTGCTCTGCTTTTGGGGTACTGGTGGGCAGGAGATGTTCTTAATTCCTCTGTAAAATTGTGTGGGGACAAGGATCAGTAATTGGGGAACGTTTCACGGCTGAGAATCGGCTGGAGGAAGGAACTGAAGGATTTCCTGTAGGATGTCCAAGCCAAGATTTGGCAGATCCCAGTGTGGGTAATGAGCAGTGTGGAGGAACACTCAGGATGGGCTGCAGAGTTTTTGGAGTGCTGTGGATTTACTGCAGGGCTGCTATGAGCAAGGAGCCAGATCCAGCTCTGAAGAACTGGCACAAGGTGGGGCAAGACAGCAGGATGGAAATCCAGTGCACTGCAAGAACGTTGGGGAATCTCAGGCAGTGACTGGAAAAAGGGAAGAGAAATCTTAGAAAAGTAGTTTAAGTAAAATTCCTCCTTCCAGAATCTCCAGGCCAAGTGCAGGACCTTAGAGTGAGCAGTAGTGACAGCACCAGCGTCACCTTGACATGGAACAAACCTGAAGTACAAGATGGGAATGATGTGAAAGGCTACGAGGTGGAGATGAGGCCCTGTAACAGCTCCAGCTGGACCAAGTGCTTCACCCTCCCTGCAGAGAGCACCTGCTGCAGGCTCCAGGGCCTCCAGGCCGGGGAGAAGCTGCTCCTGCGCGTGACGGCCCTCGGCACCAGCGGCCACGGGGAGCCCCTGGAGCTCGAGACTCGTGCTGGAGCTGCTGCTCCCGTGGGTGAGTCTGGGGCCCTGGCCTGGGAATGGGGCCCTGGCCTGGGAATGGGGCCCTGGCCTGGGAATGTTGCAAAAATTAATGAATGTTTATA